TTCTCAAGGAATTATTCATCAGACCTCTTGTCCTTATACCCCTCAGCAAAATGGGGTTGCAGAGAGAAAGAATTGGCACATTATTAAGACTGCTCACACACTTCTCATTGAATCTCATGTTCCGTTACATTTTTGGGGCGATGCAGTTATCACAACTTGTTATTTGGTTAATCGGATACCTTCATCTCCCATCCAGAATCAGATTCCGCATGCAGTATTGTTTCCCCAGTCACCCTTATACTCTGTTCCCCCTCGTGTTTTTGGGAGCACTTGTTTCGTTCATAACTTAGCCCCTGGGAAAGATAAGTTAGCTCCTCGTGCTCTCAACTATGTCTTCCTTGGTTATTCTCGTGTTCATAAGGGACATCGTTGTTACTCACCTGATCTTCGTAGGTACTTTATGTCCTTTGACGTCACATTTTTTGAGTCTAAGCCTTTCTTTACCTCTTCTAACCATTCTGACCACCTTGATATATCTAAGGTCTTACCTATACCAACCTTTAAGGAGTCTACTATAGATCCTCCTTCACCTTCCGTCACAGAAGTCTTACCCATTCCAACCGTTGGGGAGTCTAGTGTGGCTCCTCCTAGACTCCCCGCCACAGGAACACCACTCTTGACATATCATCATCGTCCGCACCCAGCATCAGGCCCAGCTGATTCACGTCATGCACCTGACCCTGCTCATACTGCGGACTTGTCTCTTCCTAGTACACCGATTGCACTTTGGAAAGGTATACGGACCACCCTTAATCCTAATCCCCATTATGTCGGTTTAAGTTATCATTGTTTGTCATCACCTTATTATGCTTTTCTATTCTGTTTCCATCCCTAAGTCTACAGGTGAAGCATTGTCTCATCTAGGATGGCGACAAACTATGATTGACGAGATGTCTAAAGTAGTCTCCTAGAACCTGGTTTGGTAAGTTCAGCACAGTTATCCAGGAATTTGGCATGACTCCGAGTGAAGCTGATCACTCTGTATTCTATTGGCATTCTGCTTCGAGTCTCTATATTTATCTGGTGGTCTATGTTGAAGACATTGTTATTACAGGCAATGACCAGGATGGTATTACTAAATTGAAGCAACATCTATTTCAACACTTTCAGACTAAGGATTTGGGCAAACTAAAGTATTTTCTGGGTATTAAGGTCGCTCAGTCTAGCTTAGGTATTGTGATCTCACAACGGAAGTATGCCTTAGATATTCCTGAGGAGACAGGAATGACAGGTTGTAGACCTGTTAACACTCCGATGGATCCGAATTCTAAACTTCTGCCAGGACAGGGGGAGCCTCTTAGCGATCCTACAAAATATAGGCAGTTGGTTGGTAAATTAAATTACCTTATAGTGGCAAGACCTGACATTTCCTTTCCTGTGAGTGTTGTGAGTCAGTTTATGGATTCTCCGTGTGACTCATTGGGATGCAGTTGTTCGCATTCTTCGGTATATAAAATCAGCTCCAGGTAAAGGTTTATTGTTTAAGGATCGAGGCCATGAACAGATCGTTGGATACTCAGATACTGATTGGGCAAGATCACCTTCTAATAGACGTTCTACTTCTGGATATTGTGTCTTAGTAGGAGGAAATTTGGTATCTTGGAAGAGCAAGAAACAGAATGTGATTGCTCGGTCTAGTGCAGAAGCACAATATCGAGCAATGAATATGGCGACATGTGAGATAATTTGGATCAAACAGTTGCTCAAGGAGTTGAAATTTGGTGAGATTAGTCAGATGGGACTTGTGTGTGATAATCAAGCTGCTCTTCATATTGCGTCAAATCCAGTGTTCCATGAGAGAACTAAACACATTGAGATTGACTGTCACTTTGTCAGAGAAAAGATACACTCGGGAAATATTGCTAAAAAGTTTGTGAAGTCGAATGATCAGCTTGCAAATATTTTCACCAAGTCTCTCACTGGTCCTCGTATTAACTACATATGTAACAAGCTCGGTACATATGATTTATATGCACCAGCTTGAGGGGGAGTGTTAGTATAGTTATGTAATACTAAATAGTAGTAAATAACCCTAATCACATATGTATTAGGAGTAAGACATGTTATGTTTAACATATGAGAATAATATCAATAATATTTTCTCTCGTGCTTTCTCACAGGAAGCATATAGAGAACAATAGAATATCTTACCTGAGGAACTTGGGTTGTCTTACCACAACCTATCTCACCACAAACTATTACACACGTGTTCTCATTTATAGCTTCCATTATCTCCTGTTCCATCATGACTATCGGCAGATCGCTCCTCTTATTTTCAACCTCCTTTGGTCTTGAAACGTGCACCACAGTTGGAGTTGTTAAAGCTCTTTGAGGAAGACTGTTAGCCGAGTTGCTACTATTGCTTAGAATGGCATTTTGAATATCCTTGGTACCATCCTGTTCAATATGAAGTGCCCACACAGAACAAGGATGACATGCATATGAGAGAGCCTCAACGAAAATTAGGTACCAAGTATATGGTTGACACAAAATAAAAGGCTGTATAAACTGAGAGTGAAGCAATACCATTGATTTCCTCTGTTCTTCGTTATAACAATCACAAATAGATGGATGATCTTGCTGATAATCTGACTTTAAACATTCTGTAGTTCTATCCTCTTCTTGCTTATTTTGCACCGAAGCATCTCCTCCGCAAACTAAAAGTCCACTCTGAGAAGTCAACTCTTCAGGAGACCCTGGAGTGACCAGTGCTTCACTTTGTACTTCACTTTTTCCTAAGGAGGACTGCAAAAGATTGCTATTGACTATTGGACTCGACTTCATTTTGTTAGAATCATCCAAGACATCACTAGTTAGGTTGTTGGTTGTCCTCTTCTTGACTGGCATTCAGGACAGGGGGGAGCCTCTTAGCGATCCTACAAAATATAGGCGGTTGGTTGGTAAATTAAATTACCTTACAGTGACAAGACCTGACATTTCCTTTCTTCGGTATATAAAATCAGCTCCAGGTAAAGGTTTATTGTTTAAGGATCGAGGGCATGAACAGATCGTTGGATACTCAGATGCTGATTGGCCAAGATCACCTTCTGATAGACGTTCTACTTCTGGATATTGTGTCTTAGTAGGAGGAAATTTGGTATCTTGGAAGAGCATGAAACAGAATGTGGTTGCTCGTTCTAGTGCAGAAGCACAATATCGAGCAATGGATATGGCGACATGTGAGCTAATTTGGATCAAACAGTTGCTCAAGGAGTTGAAATTTGGTGAGATTAGTCAGATGGGACTTGTGTGTGATAATCAAGCTGCTCTTCATATTGCGTCAAATCCAGTGTTCCATGAGAGAACTAAACACATTGAGATTGACTGTCACTTTGTCAGAGAAAAGATACACTCGGGAAATATTGCTAAAAAGTTTGTGAAGTCGAATGATCAGCTTGCAAATATTTTCACCAAGTCTCTCACTGGTCCTCGTATTAACTACATATGTAACAAGCTCGGTACATATGATTTATATGCACCAGCTTGAGGGGGAGTGTTAGTATAGTTATGTAATACTAAATAGTAGTAAATAACCCTAATCACATATGTATTAGGAGTAAGACATGTTATGTTTAACATATGAGAATAATATCAATAATATTTTCTCTCGTGCTTTCTCACAGGAAGCATATAGAGAACAATAGAATATCTTACCTGAGGAACTTGGGTTGTCTTACCACAACCTATCTCACCACAAACTATTACACACGTGTTCTCATTTATAGCTTCCATTATCTCCTGTTCCATCATGACTATCGGCAGATCGCTCCTCTTATTTTCAACCTCCTTTGGTCTTGAAACGTGCACCACAGTTGGAGTTGTTAAAGCTCTTTGAGGAAGACTGTTAGCTGAGTTGCTACTATTGCTCAGAATGGCATTTTGAATATCCTTGGTACTATCCTGTTCAATATGAAGTGCCCACACAAAACAAGGATGACATGCATATGAGAGAGCCTCAACGAAAATTAGGTACCAAGTATATGGTTGACACAAAATAAAAGGCTGTATAAACTGAGAGTGAAGCAATACCATTGATTTCCTCTGTTCTTCGTTATGACAATCACAAATAGATGGATGATCTTGCTGATAATCTGACTTTAAACATTCTGTAGTTCTATCCTCTTCTTGCTTATTTTGCACCGAAGCATCTCCTCCGCAAACTAAAAGTCCACTATAAGAAGTCAACTCTTCAGGAGACCCTGGAGTGACCAGTGCTTCACTTTGGACTTCACTTTTTCCTAAGGAGGACTGCAGAAGATCGCTATTGACTAGTGGACTCGACTTCATTTTGTTATAATAATCCAAGACATCACTAGTTAGGCTGTTGGTTGTCCTCTTCTTGACTGGTCGATCTCTATGTGGCATTTCTAACCCCGCCCTAGAAAACTGCACTTCTCTCATACGCTTCTCTCGGCTAGTTTCACCCTACAGCATACGGGGCATGATTTTAGAGCTAAAGTCTAACAACCTATCACATGTAAAGTAAATATGGACAATTACACAAACCTGACCCAAGTTCCTTGAAGACCACATAAGTGAATAAAGATCATCTTGGATCTGATACTTCCTGAAATGGGAATTATTTATCATTATCCAACAAAAAAAATTCCTGAATACTTAAAGAGAAAAGCTGTCCAAGCTAAATGAGGAGAATTCTTACTTCAAGGTCTTAATGCTTTCAGCTAAAAGGATTGATTTCTCCTTGTATTCCTACATTTGAGAAGACTGAATTATTCAAAGTCCAAAAACTAGATGACAAGAATAAGTAGTACTAACAAAATAAGAAAACAATGAACATTCCTGGATGCACTTACCTCGAGTTTCTTCAGCTTTTTTTTCTGAGATTGACTTAACTTAATGTTATTCTTCGTTTTAAGCTTATTCAATACCGGATATGAAAAAAATAAAAGCAATCGGTCATCTGTGAAGACGTTCAAACATGTATAACATATTGATTTTCTGTTTATACCTGTTCCTTTTCTGTCTTCTTCTTCTTTTTCTTGTCTGGCAATATAATTGCATTGCTATCTTGATCATTCAGACTATTAACACAAGCAGTCCAGATATTTTCCGGTTAATAACTACGAAGGTATATTCTCAACTGAAACCAAAGACAACAGTTGTTTAAGCAGCAAAAAAAGCAAGTGGATTACGAAATCAATTACCTCCAGATGTCTGTATCAAGGTTAATATCTGCACTAGGCTCCATTATCACGACTAAAAATAATAATGCTCTTGCAGCCGGCAGTCGAAGCAAATTGACAACTTCGTTGTGTTCTTTCTCAAGCTGCAAAAGGGACAAAAATAAGCATAAATCGTGGTATCCAAATCAAGGGGGCTCTAGGGTAAGGCAAGTGAAGCTCTTCGCCGGAGAAGAAGACGGAACAAGGAGGGTCGCCGGGGAAGAAAACGAAGGGTTGGGGTGGACGGCGGCAGAACCTTTTTTCGGGCAGGTTCTTGTTTTTCTTCTTTATTTAAAACCTTTTTTTAAAAAAAAATAAATGTCTTCTTTTTATTCGTTACTCCATATTACACGCATTTTTTGTGTTTTATTGCATATTAATTTCGGGTCCTAATGACACAGTAAAGACTCTATTAAGGTGTTCAAATTGAACAGATTTAACATGGAGTATTTAAGTAAAAAGTATAAACAACTTTAAGGGATTGTCCTTATATTTCGCGAAAATATAAAGTATTACTATATCATTATATAATATATGTAATTTATATTTATACAATTATTGATAAAATTGGCGTAGAGTAGCCCAGGTAAGTCTCTCTCTTTTCTTGCTTTCTCTCTCCTTCTGCATTCTCCCCTTTCTGCGATCTCTCTCTCTGATTCTCCCCCCCTCCCCCTTTTCTAGATCTGGTCTTCCGGCAAACACCCAAACATCATAGACCAGTCTCCGGCAACCACGACCCACACAGGTAACGACACTCAGTCCTCAACCAGCGGTACCAAAAACTCTGGGCAGCCATTTCTTCGGACCCTTTCAGGTTTCCAAGGGCAGTAGCGGTTAGGCATCATCGTCGGGACATTAGGAAGACAACAGAGGCGCTAGGAACAAGGGCAGAACTTTGGTTTTTCACAGCATCAGGAATATACCAAGACAAAAGTCCAGGTTGTATTTGCGGGAATTGGTACCTCCTGTCACACCCCTTTTTTAACAAACCTCACTAAACCTCTTATTATAAATAAAAAGATTTAGTAAAGCTCGAAAGGGTTTTTCAATTAGAAAGTGACAAAAATTGTGTTCAAAAGGAAATAACTCGGAGTCGCCACCTGACATTTGATTTCGGTGTATCAGGCCATCGTTTTTCTAAAAATAATTTTTTTCCTTTCAAAACACTCGAGACTCCAAAACTAAGTCTGCATCAGAGATTCGGGTAAGGAGGTTCATTTGACTCGGGGAGAAGGTGTTAGGCATTCCCCAAATCCTGTAACTAGTACGGTTGCATACTTGATTTGGTCGGCTTTTAAATATTCGAATTGAGGTAAAAACACACAAAGGAAAATAAACATCCAAAAGGTCTGAGGTCGTGCAACGACCCGACCGGTCGTTTTCAGCTCTAGCGCGTCGTTCAGCAGTCAGAGGCCATGAGCAGCTTCATTTCAGGTATTATGACTTGTACGCGCGGTCGGAATTGAATTTCGTGAAGTTCAGAGTTGATTTGGAGAGAGAATTCTCATTTTGGAAGCTTAAAGTTGAAAGAATTAACTAAGATTGGATTTTTGAGTAAACGACCTCGGAATCGGGATTTAAAGGTTCCAACAGGTTCGTATGATGATTTCGGACTTGGGCGTATGTCCGGATCGGGTTTTGGAAGACCCGGGAATGTTCTGATGCCTATTGTGGGAGTTAGCATTTTGGAAGAAATTTCATAAGTAAGGCTTGAAGTGCATTTCAGTGTTATCGATGTCCGTTTGGGATTCCAAGTCTAGGAGTAGCTCCGTATGGTGATTCTAGAGTTAGGAGCGCGATCGGAAGTGAATTCGGCGGGCCGTAGGTCGTTTCGGAGTCATTTGGCTAAAGATAGAAAATTGAAGGTTTTTGAGAAGTTTGACCGGAAGTGGATTCCGGAAGTTGGATTAGGTCCGTAATGTTAAATATGACTTGTGTGCAAAAAATTGAAGTCAATCGGATGTGATTTGATAGGTTTCGGCATCGAAAGTAGAAGTTTGAAGTTCTAAAGTTCATAAAGCTTGAATTGGAGGTTGATTCATGATTTTAACGTTGTTTGGTATGATTTGAGGCCTCGAGCAGGTCCGTATTATGTTATGGAGTGGGTTGGTGTGATTGGACGGGGTCCCGAGGGGCCTCGGGTGTGTTTCGGGTTGTATCGCACTCTTATTTGATGTTTCAACGTCGTTTCTTTGGACATAAAGGGGTAACATATTAAGCAAATGAGCTCCAAATTAAGTTTTTATTGAACCATTAGATACGTATCGGAATTTCGGAGCCATAGCAAAAATAATCATCGAATTTGGACATCGTATGAGGAAGTTATGCTCATTTTTGTGTCGGAAAAAACTGCTGCTTCTGGTATGGTCGCAATTGCGAACATATCCATCGCAATTGCGATGCCTAATTCTCAATTGCGAACTTTATGTCGCATATGCGACCTTTTCCAGCCCTTCTTTGTTCGCAATTGCGAAGGCTTTCTTCGCTTTTGCGAGGGTTCGCAATTGCGAACCCTGGATCGCAAATGCGACATCTGCAGCTTGATTTTAGCTGTGTAACTCGAGTTTTTGCTTCATTTTATCATATTTTGAGCCCTAGGTCCGAGAGTGGGCGATTTTGAGAGTGGATTTTCGTATCAAATCATTGGGTAAGTTCCTCTAACTAATTTTCAATTATATTTTGTGATTATACCTTAGATTTAACATCAAAATTCATGAGAATCTAAGGGAGAATTTGGGGTTTTAAAGAAAAACCTAGAAATTGAGATTTTTTGATTTTGACCACGATTTTGGGCATGGAATTGAGAATAAATTATATATTTGAGTTCGTAAGGTCATGGGTAAACTTTATCTTCGGAAAATTTCGGAATCCGGGCACGTGGGCCCGAGGGCAATTTTGTCAACTTTTCGTTCGGGGTTAGGAATTTGTTATAAATTGGACTATAATGAGTAATTGAACATATATTAATGGGTTTATATAATTATTGGCAAGTTTTGGAGCATTTTTGCATCGATTTGAGTCTTCGAAAGGGCGTGTAATGCCGGTTATGGAACTTCGGAGCGAGGTGAGTCTCCTTTCTAACCTTGTAAGAGGGAATTGTCCCCATAGGTGAGTTAATTGGCTATGTGCTCCTATTTGTGGGGGCTACGTACGCACGAGGTGACGAGAGTCCGTGCGTAGCTGCTATTATGCTATTGTCCGAGTAGTCTAGGACCCCAAAGTATGCTATACTTGGAATATTTGTAATCTTATGGATAGTTGAACTGCTTAAATCACAATGAATCAGTAAATGAATTTCTAAAAAGATCTAAACCTCATTTTCTTAAATTGTTAAAAGATAATTAGCTTTTCTTTGAATAATTGTTCCATGTTGACTTCTTGATTGACTGTCTCTACGTGTTTATTTTTGGAGCGGGCCGAACGCCTGGCAGATTAAATAGATGCATCTATGGTTCGCGCCGTTCGACCCTCGGCAGTGCACAGTTTACATTTCTGTTGGAGCGGGCCGTCGACCTCGGCATGATTTGCGCATGCTTGTATTGCTTGCCTTGAAACTTATTGAAGTTGTTGCTGCCTCTTTCTAGCTTAAGAATATATGTATAAATGATGAAAAGGAATGATTTCCTATAAAAAAAAAATCGCTTATTTTCTTCAACCCATTGAATTATAATTATGTTTATAAAAATTCACGATTTAATATATTATGGATATATCATCATTGGACCATTAGTAAGTGTCGAAGTCGACCATCTCGTCTTTACTTCTTCGAGATTAGACGGGATACTCATTGGGTACACGTTGTTTTCGTACTCATACTACACTTCTGTGCATTTTTGTTGCACAGGCATATGCATCTCTAGTGGCCTACTGGGCGTAGCAGCACAGATGACACGGAGACTTAGGTGAGCTGCACTCCTCGAGGTGATCCGCAGCCAACAGAGTCTCTTTCAGTTTTCTGTATTTATTTCTGTCCAATATTGTATTCCGGACGATTGTTGTATTATATTATTTCTTAGAAATTGCTCATGCACTTGTGACACCGGGTTTTGGGAGGATTTTTGGATTATTAAATGTTAAGTTTTGTTAAAGATTTCGCGATTGTTTCTGTAAATTTTATTATTCGTTATTTAATGTATAAAGAAAAATGATTTTAGACAATACAAAAATTGGAATTTAATTAAGTATTTTGGTTGGCTTGCCTGACAGCGGTGTCCGGCGCCACCACAACCCTCAGTGGATTTTGGGTCGTGACAGGTCGTCCCTTCCTAATAAAAGAAAAATAAAACAAAATAAAATAAGTCCTCCTAGCCTGTACTACGCCTCCATTGATGATGCCATGACCTCTATTTACATTTACTTCGGGGCATTCCCCGGGTTAAAATATTTACAAAGTCCACGGGGCATTCCCCGGATGAATTTATCTAAGGGACAACCTCTCACCTTACGTTCAAACATAATAAATTAAACTAAACATCCTAAGGCTTGCCTACCCAAATGATGACGGCCTAAATATGCTACTAGCGGATAATGGAGTAAATAAAGTAAATAAAAGAATTAAGTAGAAGGAAGATTCAACTCGTGCTCAAATTCTTTTAGTTTTCCATTTTTTATATATTCAGACCAAGTCCAACCCTAAAGCATGCGAGGCAAAAAATAAAATTACTACGGACTCGATCTTTTTCCCCTTCCGCAACCTACGTTCATCTTTCATGATAAGAACAAATCAAACCAAACAACCAACTAATTTGCTCATGGACAAACAAGTTGTCAATATGTCATGGTCATAGCTAAGCTTGAGGCAAACTTTCAACATATTGACACCACAATAATACTCAGTCACATCTAAAAGGATTAACACCTTAAAGGCTCACAACCTGACAAACAAATGATTGTAGAAGAATTAAATACATTCAAACCAATTTTCAATCAACCTCCAAAGCCTCAAACATACCGAATATGTGACTTACTCTAAAGATAAAAATAGAAGTCTCTTAAAGTAACATACTAAATTGT